GGTTCATTGAAATTATATAATTTTAAAATTAAAAAAAAATTTTTAACTAAGAAATGATCACGCAAAAAAAAAAGACATGCATGCTTTAGTAATATAATGAATTGTTACAGTTGATGTTTGGGCAATTGGATGCATATTAGCCGAAATGATCAATAGGAAAACTTTATTCCCGGGTAGCGATCGACTTGATCAGTGGAATAAAATCATTGAAATTTTGGGTACACCAAGCCAGGAATTTATCAACAAGTCATTATGTGACATCTTAAATTAATTATACAATTTAATAAGTTAAATTTGTTCAAATTTTCCATAATGAATGGAAAGTTTGAAAATTTTTTCTACAATAGCAAATTTTAAAAATTTCAAATTAATACCTGTTTATGTTTAATTTTATTAGTGATATATTTCCAGGTTAGAGCATCATACCAGAAATTTTGTAAAAAGTAAGGGTCACAATGATCCATTACCATTTGAAGAAATTTTCCCGGATGAATGCTTCATTGGAAATTATGCAAAAGCGCCACAACTTTGTGGTTTATTTTTTGAATATTTTACAAAAATAAAAGTCATAAAATTTTTCTAAAAAAAACACGTATGTAATAGATTAATCAGTTAATTAATTCATTTAAAATCATTTAATTAAGTGTATAATTATTCACAATACTATTAGCACATTGACATATCATCAGCTATAACAATTTCTAAAAGAAAATTTTCTTTGTCTCATTTCAAGATTGATCTACCACATTCATTTGTTTGTTTTTGTTTTCAAGTATTATTATGATTATAAGAAAATGCAAACTTGTTTTTTCTTATGATTATAATGGTATTTTAAAATTTAATTATTTCTTATTTAATAATCTTATTTGATTATAAAATTTGGTAACATTATCGCATATCAGTCCAACAGAAAAAAAATGCTATTTTGTATATTTCCAACATTTTTATACATTACAATGCTTATTTCATCATTTTACGTCATCATATTTACATCATTTTATTTGCAATAGACAGAACAAAAAATTTTGCCCAAAAATTTTGAAAAAACGAAAATTTTACTTTTAAAATATGCAAGAAATATTTGTAAAACGTGCAATAAGTTAATATGGTAAACCTTTATTCAAAAAATAATAATTCTTTTAGCTTCCGTGGCACGTGATTTGCTATTTAAAATGCTTCAAATTGATCCAGAAAAAAGGATAAGTATTGATGAAGCAGTACGTCATCCTTACGTAAGTCTGTGGTTTAGAGATGAGGAATGGAACGTACCACTTCCAGAAAATCGATATGACGCAAATAATGATCTAACTGAGTTACCAATAACTTCATGGAAAGGTCATGATTATAATTTTTTTTTATAAATTCAACTATTCAATTATTACTTATCGCCGTTTCTTTAACCATATTTTTAGCTCAATCATAGACTATAAATAATAATCAGCAAAAAAAAATTCCAACTTTTGTTAAAATTATTTGAAGAAATAATGATTGGTTGAATGCTTTAATTAGCTGATATTAATGGTGGAAGAAGTAATGGTTGAACGCTTTAATTAGCTGATAATAATAGGAATTTTATCTTTCAACAATAAAAGATAATTTTTTTAATTTGAAATTTCTGAATTTATCAATTAGATTTATTTTGTTGATAAATTTTCAGAACTTTTATTCAGAGAAGTGAAACGTTGTGAAAAAGAACATTCAGAAAATACAATCTCAAATGTAACCAATTCATCTGACAATTCAAAATGATACAACAATGGCAAATTTCATTTTACATTGATCTCAGAATAGCAGTTTCCTTCAAACCATTTCTAAAAATTGATTTCGTTCAACTTTCTTTATTAAATAAAAATACTTAAAGCTATATCTTTTGTATTAATTTGCAATATATCCTTTCCCTGCTAAGTTCTATTTGGTTTTATATAATTGAAAGAGTTTTTGCATTTTTATAATATGCTTCTATTATTTTTCATTATGCTATCTTTAAATAAATTACGAAAGTTTTCGTTTCAATTTTTTCAAAATTTAAATGACTTAAACAAGTGTATCGTCAAATTTTTTATAATTTTAAACAGTTTAAAAAAAAGTTTTATTCATAAAAACATGACAAAAAAGAGAACGGGAAATTATTTTTTTCCTAAAAAGAAATAAAACTACTTCCTTAAGCGCATGCTGTAAAACATTACTTCAAACGTATCTGTAAATAATATTCAAAATATTAGAAAAAAGTATGATGAAAAAAAAAGTAGAAAAGATTTAATTAATAATTATCAATCCAATTAATAATTAATAATTCATAAACGAAAGAAAAGAAGCTACAAAGGAGTTTTGCAGAAGTTTTAAAATTCTCTTTTTAGCAGATTAGAGAACTTAAATTTATTTATTTACAAGCGATTTCTACAATTCGATAAACAAATTATACATTATTTTTATTTTTATTATGTTGAATTAATGAAAATTCTCTTTAAATAGCCAGTTTAAAGGTATTAATTATTGATTGATTATTAAATTAATAGTGGTAAATTGAATTTCTTCCGTTTTCACCGTATTCTTTCAATTATGTACGGTTGAATAAAATTTAGCAAATTTGATGAAACAGTATGTATGTTTACAAATTAAGATTGTTGCAGACATTATTTCGTTTCTAATTATTTTAATTTATTTTTACATCGCTTAAATTGTTAATTGTATTTTAATCATAATTTGTTTGCATTATTATTGGGAGAACCATATAAGTTTTCAAATTATATAAAAAAATAAATTCGAAAGGAATCAAATTTAATATTTACCTCATGTGAAGCTATTTTTATTTATCTTTTTTAAAAAAAATCGATAATATTATTTGAGCTTAATTCTTTCGATACATTTTTACTGTATAACAAAGGCAAAAAAGTTTTGTTAATTTCTTTTAGAAGGACATTTTAGGATTGTTAATTATTGCTTCAACACATAGGTGTGCTAATTTTATTTTCTTTTTTCTTATTTGAATAAATTGCAATAATTTATCAATAAATATCTTTTATCATTATTTTGCTTCACATTTCAGAATCTAAAAAAAATTAAACAGCAGCAACAGGAAAAAAAAACTCTATTATTTTAACAAAGATGAGTTTAAAGAAAAAAAAAATGAAATTTAGAAAAAGATGTGTAAAATCTAAAATGGTGTGATTTTAAATGATTGAAATTACGGAAAGAAGAATATGGTGTTGTAGAAATTGGTAGAATAATTAGAATGAATTAATGAGGTTAATTTGACAAAGGGAAAAGATAGAAATGAAAAAGAGAAGTTAATCGATGAGACAAGTATATTTATTTATTCGGGAATTCAGAGAGAAGGTAGTGCCAGTAACGGAGTTCCGGATGCGGTATTCAAACGATCATCATCAATACATCGCTCATTATCAGATGTCGTATTTGTCACTTCCATATGTCATTTCCAACCATTCTTATCCTTTCAATTCTAATTGCTTCAGAAGCACATCCACGTTAGTTTAATTTCATCATATTTTATTATAAGATTTGATTATTTGAAGATTAAGGATC